CTCTAAAAACAAAAGCAAAAATGAACAAACAAGCACAAAAGAAAGAAAAAGGGGGCCTGGAGAGATGACTCAGTGGTTAAGAGCACTTGTTGCTCTTTCAGAGGACCCAGGTTTGATTCCCAGCACCCATATGGTGGGCTACAAACCACCTGTGTTTCAGGGAGTCCAGCACCCTCTTTTAGCCTCTGTGTGCACCACATGTGCACATGGTACACAGACATATATGCAGGCAAAATACCATTACACAGAGGTATTTTGAATAATACAGGGCTCAGGTGTCTCTGTCAAAGTCCTAACAACTCTCTGTACCCAACAAAGGGATCACATCCAGCCTGGTAAGGATCCCTGGTGAGTTCAGGATAGAACAAACCAGCTCCTGAGTCCTCTTCCGAAGAGGGATGGAGTCTGCAAGCTGGTACACAGCCTGTTTTAGCCCTCCCTGTCCTGAAGGGTAGCAGATGGGTCAATATCTCTCTGGTGGCCTTAGTGTCTGCCTCCTGTTAGTGGGCATTTTTTACCAGATACCCCAGAAAAATTTGCCTAAGCGTTTTCTGCAGTGCTCTTAAGTACTCTCTGTGTGTGTGTGTGTGTGTGTGTGTGTGTGTGTGTGTGTGTGTGTGTCAGGGGTGAGGGGTGGGGGGTAAGGGGAGAGAGCTACAGTTTGAACCCAGGGAGACATGAATTTAGGCAAGCACCCTACCACTGAGTTACATTTTTATGTTTTGTTTTCAGGAGACAGGGTATCTCTGTGTAGCCCTGGCTATCCTAGAACTCACGATGTAGACCAGGTTGTGTATTATTCAAAGGCTGGGAAAGACCTGTCCTTTTCTTTCTTTCCTGTCCAGGTTTTCTTGTTTTGTTTTTTGAGAAAGGTTTTCTCTATGTAGCCCTGGCTGTCCTGGAACTCATACTGTATACTAGGCTGGCCTCGAACTCAGAGTTGCACCCGTCTCTGCCTCCTGAGTGCTGGGATCTTTCCTTTTGAATTGGCTTTTAGACTTATGGTTAAGAACACTAGAGCCTGGTATTCCAGAGGTCCTGAGTTTATTACCCAGCAACCACAAGATGGCTCACAACCATCTGGTGCCCTCTTTCTGGCCTGCAGGGATTCCTTCAGATAAAACACTGTATATATAATAAGTAAATCTTCTTTTTTTAAATATTTATTTATTATGTATACAGTGTTCTGTCTACATGCTTTCCCTGCAGGCCAGAAGAGGGCACTAGATCTCATTACAGATGGCTGTGAGCCACCATGTGGTTGCTGGGAATTGAACTCAGGACCTTTGGAAGAGCAGGCAGTGCTCTTAACCACTGAGTCATCTCTCCAGCCCCATAATAATAAGTAAATCTTAAAAAAAAAAAAAAGAATAAAAGGAAAGAAAGAAAGAGGGTGTTGGTGGCACCTGTCTTTAATCCCAGCACTCAGGAGGCAGAGGCAGGAGGATCTCTGTGAGTTCGAGACCAGCCTGATCTACAAGAGCTAGTTCCAGGACAGTCTCCAAAGCTACACAGAGAAGCCCTGTCTCGAAAAAGCAAAAAAAAAAAAAAAAAAAAAAAAAAAAAAAAAAAAGAAGAAAAAGAAAAAGAAAGAAAGGCTAAAGGTAAGGGTGTGGGGACAGACTGAATGCAGGTAAAAGACTCAGATTATAAAAGATATAAAGATAATTGTTTTTCTAGTTCTAAGCCTATCATGAATTTTTTTGTTTCACTGTTTTGGTGGTGAATAAGTGCATAAAATATACTTGATATTGCAAGTATAACAGTTAATGTGACACCCCATAGCTTCTGTTTCAAATGCCTATTCTAACTATATAGAAGTTCATTGATTTGTTTAGACTTTGGATCTTGCTAAATTTGGTATGTGATTTTTTTTTTATTTATTTGCAGGATTTTTAAAAAAAGATTGACTTCTTTATTTTATGTATATGACTGCTCTATCTGCATGTACATCTTCATTCCAGAAGAGGGCATCAGATCCCACTATAGATGATATCCTCCAAAAGGTTGCTGGGATTTGAAAGAGCAGCTAGTGCTCTTAACAGCTAAGCCATTTCATTAGCCCAAGATTTTTTTCTATAATTAAGTTTATAAATAATTTAAAAATTGGGGGGGGTCAGTAGAGGACATCGGATGATGGGAGAGAGAGGGAACTGGCATTGATATGTAAAATAAGAAAAATATTAAATAATAAAAAAATTAAAAATTGGGTCTAGAAAGTTGGCTCAGCTGGTAAGAGCACTGACTGCTCTTCCAAATAACCCGGGTTCAATTCTCTGCACCCACATGACAGCTCACAACTGTCTGTAACTCCAAGATCGGACACCCTCACACAAATAAACATGCAGGCAAAGCACCAATGCACAGAAAATAAAACAATTAAGTTTAAGAATAATAATTTAAAATGTAAAATAGATAAAAATAAGAAGATATATAGGAGAAACAGGTATGTTGAAGGTCTCCAATCCCAGCATCCAGAGTGCTAAAGCAGCAAGATCATGACTTCTGGGCCAGCTCAGAAATTTGAGGCCGGCTTGGACTAAATATTGAGATCATGTCTCAAAACCAGGGGGGGAAAACCACCCCAAAACAAACACAAACAAACAAACAAAAAACATCTGTAGTCCTGACACCAGAGATGTAGGCAGGAGGATCAGGAATTTAAGGCCATTCTTAGCTACATATAAAGTTTGAGGATAGCCTGGGCTACATACGATTTTGTCCTTAAAAACAAAACAAACAAAACAGTCAGGGATAGTGGCACACACCTTTGCTCTCAGCATTAAGGAAACAGAGGTAGGTGAATCTCTTTGAGTTTGAGTGAGGCCAGCCTGATCTACATGGCAAGTTCCAAGGCAGTCAGAGCTACATAATAGACACTGTCTCAAAAACAAGGGCTGGAGAGATGATCCAGTAGATAAGAGCACCCACTGCTCTTGCAGAGGACTGGAATATGGCTCCTAATACCCACATGGTGGCTCCAGGGGAGCCTACACTGTCTTCTGAACTCTGAAGACACGAGGTACAAATACTGGACACAAATACTGGACACATAAGCAAGACACTCATACCCATAAAGTAAAATAAATATATAAGTGTGTGTGTGTGGGTGTGGGTGTGGGTGTGTGTGTACCCGACTAGGCAACTAGCAGGGCAGAAGGCAGATGGCAGCCCCGAAGAACAAAAGGGAATAAAGATCCAATGGCTTGGTGTCTGGTTGGGGATTCCTGGAAGGATCCCACTGGGGGTCTTGAAGCCTATGAGAAACTTAACTTGAATAACAAGAAGGGTTCTCCAGCAGATGTGTGTGTTATGATGAAAACAGCTCCAAACTGCTAAAGGATCGACTTCAGCAGAAGGGAGCTAAGATTTAAAAAACAATTTTCCCTAGACTAAGAAGGCAGGGTCCTCGTGGGAACTGATTCCAGTGCGGGAAATGGGTGAGTTCTCGGGGTGAGAGTATTGCCACTCTGCTAATAAATGACAAGTTGCTAGTCTGGGCCCTTTCTTACTTTCTTTTTCTTTTCTTTTAGACACAGTTTCTCTACGTAGCTCTGGCTGTCCTTTTATACACCAGATTGGCCTTGAACTCACGGAGAACCCCTTTCCTCTGTTTCCCAAGTGCTGGGATTAAATGTGTGAGGCACCTCGCCCAGCCGGGAGCCATTTCTATTCAGTGCAGTAACTACAGTACAAATCCCTGGCCATGACCTGCGGCAGAAACAGAAGACTCTGGTTGTGCCCGTTGGACAAATCTTTTGTCCTCTCTGCACCTAAATTTGCCAGTTCAAGCAAAGGTGATCAAGGTGATCTCGAGAGCCTCTCGAGGGGACTTCGGGAAACAAAGCATTCATGGTCTGGGGAGCCTGGTAGCACCCCTAGCTATGGAGCACGGCGCCACCAAGCTGGCGGGAGCTGGGACAAGAGCCACTCCTGGCACCTCCTGCTCTTGCTAGAGGCACCGAGAGCATAGCATCTACGCAAGGCGGTGCCTGAGGACGGAGGTGAGGGCCAGGTGGGATCTGCTCCAGAGCCGAGAAAGGAGGTCCTCAGCTTGCCAGGAACACGTCCCACGCCTGTACCTTGAACCTCTGGCCAAAGTGGGGAAACTCTAGAATAGACTACACGCCACCTAAAGGCCGGGGTATGGTCTACGACGTAACCAAGGAGCTCTGGAAGGTGCGCACAGATCAGCTAAGATTACGTAATGGTGCAAGAGGTGGGGCCAGAATCTTTGGTGGCTCCGCCCAGGGCGTAGCCAAGAGACCAAGTTCCAGGCGCTGCAGCATCTAAGGGTTTGCGAAAATCAAGCAAGCGATCGCCCAGGTTATCTTCTGGCTCCGCCCCTAGTAGGGCGTGACCAAGAAAACGGAGCTAGCAGAGGCTCGGAAGGTGGGAATTACGTAATGATGCAAGAGGTGGTCCCAGAGCCTCCAGTGGCTCCGCCCAGGGTGTGGCCAGGGGACTCCTCCAGATGCCCAAGTGGCTACGACGATTGATAGTACAAAAACCAGACCAATGGGGTGGACCCTCACAGGGGGTGGCAGGTGCTCACAGGTCTGAAGGATATTGTGTAATGTCCAAGAGACAGGGCCAATCCCATTTGACACCGCCCTGGTCCTGGCAAGGATCTCGTCTCTAGGAGGCTCATAGTGTCTGCAGGAATTGAGCAGTTGTGCAAGTGGGACAGGGCTAATGTTGGATGGCTACGCCCAGTGCATAACCAAGGCAGCTAGTCCTCCACACCGGATTCCGAGTAGCTGCAAGAATTGTGTAATACGCAAGGGCCAGCTCTTCTAGAGGCTCCGCCCAGGGCGTGGCCAAACAGCTCCTGCTTTGGGTAATGGCATAACGAAGGGGTTGAACTGTGCTGCGGGATTACGTCAGGTCACGTGACCTAGAGTGGCGCCTTGACAGAGTAGGAAGATAGGCGGAGCCCTAGTTGGAAGCGGGCAGGGCTCTGGGAGGCGGAGCGTGCGCGGGGCATACCTAGGAAGCACACTCTACAGGCCGCAAGTGTGGGCATGCTCCGCTGGGCCCGAGCGTGGAGGGTTCCCCATGGGAAGCTTGGCGCCTCCTCTCCCAGATGCTTGGCGGTGCCTGTCGCCTTTAGTAGCGGCCGCAGTAGTGGTCAAGATAACGGCGATCCGAGGTCAGTCAAGGACACCGGGTAGGTTGTACTCCACTGGTCTTCGCACGCGGCCGGGCTGGCCCCGCCCATCTCTTGGCCTCGCCCCTTCTCTCCTTTACTCTCCCCCTTTCTCCATGGTACTCTCCCTCCCTTCCCAGGCCGCTGCCGCTGTCCTATAACCTTCTAGATGGAGACGCGACACTCCCAGCCGTCGTCTTTTTGCATGGACTCTTCGGCAGCAAAACCAACTTCAACTCCATAGCCAAGGCGATGGTCCAGAGGACCGGTAGGAGGGTGAGCTTCCGGGTGAGGCGGGGCATAAGTGGGCGGGTGCTAGGGGCTAAGGGGGAAGTCTGAGGGTAGCTTCAATCCCTCAGGTCCTACTAATATAATAATATTGCAGAGTTTCAGTGCATAGTAACCTGGATGAGGCCGGGTTCTGCAGGGTGCCCTTCAGTTCGTCCATTTATTTTACAGATCTTCACCTGCCCCTCTCAGGTCCCAAAGAAACTCGGAACAAATGGCTAGTTGTGGTGCTTATTTGCATTCCAAAGTGCACGCTGGCTGCTGCTCCTCTCATCCAACTGCCCACCATAAACTTGTCCAGCCCGGGGGCTTCCCCTCCCTTCCTCCAGCTTCTCTTTCCTATATAACCCAGCTGTGTCCGTCATGCTCTCTTCGTTCTCTTGGTCTGGGGCTCCTCTCTTGATCAGAATGCCCTCTGTCCCACACCTAAAGCTGTCATTTGACTGCCACGTGCACACACACACACACTTGCACACACACTTAGACATGCATAAATATATGTATATAATAAAAATCAAGGAATAAGTTGGGATAGCAACCAAGGAAGACATTCAAAATTGACCTCAGGCCTCTACGTGTACATGAAAATGTACACACACACACACACACACAGTTATGTCCCCTGACTCATCTCTCTGACTGCTTCATAGTCTCTACCAGGTTTTTTAATTGTCTATAATCAGGGTACCATCAACCCTCTTTCACCCTGTGCCCCAGGTGCTGACAGTGGATGCTCGGAACCATGGAGACAGCCCCCACAGTCCAGATGCAAGCTATGAGGCCATGAGTCAGGACCTTCAGAGTCTCCTGTCACAGCTGGGCCTGGAGCCCTGCGTCCTCATTGGTCACAGCATGGGAGGAAAGACAGCCATGCTTCTGGCACTGCAGAGGGTGAGCTGCATCTATCTGGGTCCTCCTCTTAGTGCAGTGTAAACCGAAAGTGCCCAATTGATAGCGTGGGACATGTGGTGCCTCGGAAGGCCAGACCCCAGCAACTGTTCTGGGGCCTCAGCGAGATTCTGTCTCATAGCCAGATGTTGTGGAACGATTGGTTGCTGTAGACATAAGCCCAGTAGGAACCACACCTGGATCCTATCTCGGAAGCTACATAGCAGCCATGAAGGCCGTTGACATCCCGGAGAAGATGCCACACTCCCAGGCCCGAAAACTGATAGATGAACAACTTAGCTCCACTGTCAAGGTGATATGTGATAACCCCCTCCCCACCTCCCCCATGTCACATGTCAGAGGAAAAAGTGGGGGGTGGATCTCACAGAGTCTCTCATAGCTGCCTGACCATCCCTCCCCCCCTCCCCGCAAAGGACCTAGCCATTCGGAGGTTCCTGCTCACTAACCTGGTGGAGGTAAATGGGCGATTCTCCTGGAGGGTGAACTTGGAGACTTTAGCTCAGTACTTGGACAAGATTCTGACCTTCCCACAACAGTATGAATCCTACCCGGGACCAACTCTCTTTCTGACTGGTGGAAATTCTAGATACGTAAAGTAAGTCAGTGTTGGACCGTAGGAAGGGGCATGTCTCACCCACCGCCAGCTGTGGGAGTCTGCTTCAGTTGGGGAGGGCTTGGGTGTGGGCATGGGGTATCTGGGAGCCAGTAACACCACTGGGCATGTAGGCTCATGTAACTCTCCTGCTCTCTCTCTCTCTCTCTCTCTCTCCCCCCTCCCCCTCGTTGTCTTCCTAACCCCATCTCCTTTGACTTCATTGTGGTGGCCAGACCCAGCCACCATTCAGAGATTAGGCGTCTCTTTCCTCAAGCCCAAATTCAGACTGTGCCTAATGCTGGCCACTGGGTCCACAGTGACAAACCCCAAGACTTCATGGACGCTGTCACCAGCTTCTTGGCCTAAGAAGTGACTCTGTGAAAGAGCAGACAGGGAACTCTGGGCTTGGCATCCTTGCAAACTGTCCCTTGCTTCTGCACAGAAAAACTCAGGTGGGCACTAAGAGGGCCCAGGAGTACAGAGGTGGTCCAGCCCTTTAATGAATAAAGGCAGTTCTCTTAAAGTTCTGGGATCCGTTTTCACCACCGTCGGCCCCACTGACTCCCGGAGAGGTGGATCCAGGAGCTCCTGCCAGCGCTTGTGTCCTCTTGTGTGCCCAGAGCGCCCCTGGACTCACCCTGCAGTTGACTCTGTACCCGCTCTCGAACCATCTGCTGCATGTCTTCCTGGGGACAGGAGAGAGAGAGAGGGTTCAAGGCCATCCCGGGGACTGAGGGGCTTATTCCAAGCCTCCCGAGTCAAGAGGCCCCGCCCTACCTCCCAGGCCTCCACTTCCTGCTTCAGCCTCAGTTTCTCCTGCAGGACTTCCAGCAGCTGAGCCTCCACTGTGCGCAACCTGGCTCTGCAGGCGTCCAGCTCCGCCTCCACCGCGCGTTTCCTGCAGGCGGCAGGGACAGCAGCAGGGGATTTCTAGTGGCTTCCTTCCAGGGTGTCTGGACCCCCTTTCCTCTCCTGTGGCTGGAGTGGGTCCCCACAATCCCCACAACCCCCATCTGCACTTTCTCTCACTTAGCAATAGCTTCATCCCGCTCCTGCAGGACTTGCTCCAGGGAAGGCTCTGCCCGGGTGTCCCCCAGTGCTCCAGCCGCTTGGGACTCTGGGCCTGTTGAAGGGTAATGGATGGGGAGGCAGTGATCTGGGCTTGTCTGAATGAGAAGCCCCACCCTCTGTACTTCTGCCCTGCCATTGACCCTGGTCCTAACCGACCTGCCCTGTTATTTCCACCTAGCCTTACCACCCTTTGCCTCTAGAGGGCTCTCCACCCTCATCTTGTAAAGCACTAGGAGAGCCCTTAGTCTGGCTAGCTGGGACTTTGGGCGGTACTCAGGAACAACAGGCAAAGCCGCTTGGCCGGGTTCAGCAGAATGGACAGAGTATGTGGAACTCCCAGAGGGACAGGATTTCCCATACTCTCCTCAGGAAATAATAGTGAGTGGGCTGGGGACACTTACCTTTCAATGTCCCTAGAGAGGTGGCCTGGTGACTGATACTTGTCAGCTGGTTGTGGCTAAGAGAAGACAGAGCCCTTTGCCCTTCCAGGCAAGGCACTCCCTAGCAGACTCCACCTACTGAAAGACAGTCTGGGGCAAGGAGCAAGTGCACTTCCCTTCTCTCACCTTGGAACGCCCAGGCCTTTCCCCCAGGTCTTGCCTTCCTTCGCCCATAGGGGACGCTCCACAAATGTCTTGCTATAGCCAGGCAGGGACAACCTTGGCTTGGTCCAGGACTTTGCAAGGCATGAGGCAGTGCCACAGCATGAGTATCAAGGCATACTCTGCCCCCTGAATTTTAATCCCACCTCAGAAAGAAAAAACAAAACAAAAAACCCCAAGGCATCCTTACCGCTATGCTATTGCTAGGATACCCCAAACATGCAGGATCAGACAAACTACATTCCAAGACAAGGGAATTTTGTTTGCTTGCTTGCTTTGTTTGTTTTGAGACAGGGTTTCTTTGTGTAGCCCTGGCTGCCTTGGCACTCCCTCTGTAGATCAGGCTGGTATCAAACTTAGAGATCTCTCTGTCCCTGTACTCCAAATGCTGGGATGGTATACATCTTTAATCCCAGCAATCACAGTATTCAAGAGGATCTTTGTGTGTTTGAGGCCAGCATGATCTACATAGCAAGTTCCAGGACAACTACGGCTACCCAGAGAAACCCTGTCTTGGAAAAAAAAAAAAAAAATAGAAATCTACCATGGTATCAGACATCATAACCAATCATCCTAACTCTATTCTCAACACAGAATAATTTGTAGCCTGTGAGTTTTCATGACCTTGGCAGGTAAACTGCTCTTTCGTTTGGGTTAGTTCAGTTTTTCCTCTTGATTGGACCATCCTTTTGCACTTCTACCCTAGACATTCCAGAAATGAGACTGTCTTCTGGTGCTACTAGTAGTGACATCAAACATAATGATGTCAGACACCTGACTGAGGTGTTTTGTCCATATTTGAGGAGGAAAGATATTTTTGAGACTTTGAACATCTTTTTTGTTTGTTTGGCTTTGGTTTTTTGAGACAGGGTTTCTCTGTAGCTTTGGAGCCTGTCCTGGAACTCACTTTGTAGACCAGGCTGGTCTTGAACTCACAGAGATCTGCCTGCCTCTGCCTCCCAAGTGCTGGGATCAAAGGCGTGAGCCACCACCACGTGGCTTCCCCCCCCCCCCTTTTATCTCTTTGTTATATTAATTTGTGTTCTGATGCCTAGCCCTATTCCTAACTGGGTTATTTTAGGCAGGTGCTCTACCACTGAGCCACACTCACAGCCCATAGAATAACTTTTTTTATAAGGGGCTTGAGCATTTCAGCATCCTTGGATTGGATGGTGGTAGACTCTTGAACCAGTCTCCCCCAGGACAACTGTACTTAGAGGCCATGAGGAGGGGTGGCTGTTAGATGGGCTCATTGCCATTTGGCAGGTGCATATCCATATCCAAATATCCATTTTCACATCTGTGAAGTTGTTTGTCTTCATAGAGTATACATTTGTTTACATCTCCAAGTGGTATCCAGAGATGCATATGTCACCCTAACCTTTTCCCCTTACTGTATTTTTATTTTCCTTCAAAAATCAAGAAAGACATCAAGATGGCTAAGTAGGTAATTATTCCTGCTGCCAACCCTAAAGATCTGAGTTCTATCTCTGGGATCCACGGGTGCTAGGAGTGACATGATTATGACAGCAACTGTGCAAAGCAGAAATGCAAATGAAGGCTCTCAATAAACTTTCACAAGCCAAGGAAATGGAACAGCACTGTCCATTAATGTACACACAAACACACACACAAAGTTACCAAAAAAAAAAAAAAAAAAAAAAAAAAAACCCTCGTTTCCCTTGTCATCAATATTTCACAATTTGCTCATTCATCTAGTCCTTCCATGAGACTGGATTCCCCTCAGCTTTCATGTATTTATTTGTTTATTTAGTTTATCTATGGGCCAGGCTGGCCTTGAACTCACAGAGATCTGCTTGCCTTTGGGTGCTGGGATTAAAAGTGTGAGCCACCAAGCTCAGATCAACTTTTATTTATGTGTTGACTTTATTTTTAGATTTTTATTTTATTTTTTTATTTTATTTATTTTTAATTATGTATGGGGGGCTTATGTCCACAAGGGCAGATCCCTGTGGATCCAGAGGCAGAAGCAGGTGGATCTCTGTGAGTTCCAGGCCAACCTGGTCTATATGGTAATTCCAGGACTACATAGACAAAAAAATAAGTCAATTTTTTGTTATATTCATTTGTGTATTTTTGTTGTTGTTTTAAATAGGGTTTCTCTGTGTAGCTTTGGATCCTGTCCTGGAGCTAGCTCTTGTAGACCAGACTGGTCTCGAACTCACAGAGATCTGCCTGCCTCTGCCAAGTGCTGGCATCAAAGGCATGTGCCACCACTTCCTGGCTTCTCATGTGTGTATTTTATATTTTATATGTATGTGTATGGCCATGCATGTATGAAACTCAGGTCCTGAGGTTTGGTGGCTTTATCCTAAGTCATCTCACCTGATCCAGAAACAGAGTCTTGTTATATAGCCAAAACATGCAGGGACACTACTACTGGGCCATACTTCCGTTCCTTATTGGCAGATGTTGGATAAACCCACTCCACCTCCCAAGTGCTGGGATTACAAACCTGAACCACCAGGCTTGGCTTTTTTCAGGCAGGGTGTTGTATTGCCTAGGCTAACTTGCACTTCACTGTATTGCCGAAGATGACCTTGAACTCAAGTGGTGGGATGAAAGTCCTCTTCAGTCAATCTGCAACATATATATATATATATATATATATATATATATATATATATATATATGGTGTGTGTGTGATCACACATGTCATGTATGTGTTCTTTTTTAAATTATTATTTACTTATTTCTACAGTGCTCTATCTGTATGGACACCTTTATACCAGAAGAGGGCACCAGATCTTATAAATGGTTGTGAGCCAACATGTGGATGCTGGGATTTGAACTCAAGACCTCTGGAAGAACAACCAGTGCTCTTAACCACTGACTCATCTCTCCAACCCTTATTTTGTTTTGGTTTGTTTGTTTTTGAGACAGGGTTTCTCTGTGTAGCCCCGTCTATCCTGGAACTCTGTGTAGACTAAACTGGCCTCAGAGATCTCTCTGCCTCTGCCTCCTGAGTGCTGGGATTAAAGGTGTGCACCACTACTATCCATCCTGGTGATGGGAAGAAAAATAGACCAGATCTCACAGTCTTGGGGACCCTCACATTCTAGTGAAGGGAGACAGACATTGGAGTAATAAACAGCCAGGCGCTATAGGGCATACCTGTCATCTCAGCACTCAGGAAGCTGAGTCACAAAGATCAGGGGCTGGAGACAAAGCTCAGCAATGAAGAGTACATACAGCTCTTGCAGAGGAGCTGAGTTCAGTTCCCACTACATAAGACAGCTCACAACTGCCTGTAACTCCAACTCCAAGGGATTTGACACCCTCTCTGGCCTCTGGGCGTGGGGAGTGGCACTAAGGATTATGACCATAACTATGAAAATTGGGAATGCTAGCAAAGGGTGTGGATAAACTTCACAAGCCAACATTCCAGCCCAACACTGTTTCAGCACAAAGTTCTTGAGGGGCTGAGAAGGTATCACAATGTCTAAGAGCGGTGGGGATCTCTGTAAACACTAGGGCCAGCAGAGCAATGATCTGAACGTGGCAGAAATTCAGCTCAACACAACTCAGTAGCCACTGTTAGTTCAAACTTCTAGAACAATGGTTCTCAACCCCCCAATGCTGCCAACCCTTAATACAGTTCCTGTGGCAGTGACCCCCACCCAGCCATAACATTATTTTTCTTGCCATGTCATAACTAATTTTGCTATTGTTATGAATCATAATGTAAATATCTAATATGTAGATGGTCTTGGGGACCCCTGTGAAAAGGTTATCTAACCCCCAAAGGGGTCACAACCCAGGTTAAGAATCACTGTTCTAGAGTCCAACACCAGCCAGTTTATTTTAGACATATTTAAATATAGTACAA